CAAAGCCCCCAAGCTTTAACCCCAAATCTCTAAACCCTAAACCCTAAGCCCCCAAGCGTTAAACCCAAGTCTATAACTCCCTCAAGCCGAATTGTTTGAGAAACTCCGAAGCGCCGGTAGCTGGCAGGTGCCGGCGAAGGCCCCGGAAGCAGAGGAGACCGGGTCGGAACCTCTTCAGCCCGCCTCCCAGAGGTGTACTAGAGGATGGTGCCTTATGCATTATCACTATTCATGTAAAATGATAGATTGTAGTATAGTATTCTCTTAAGAAAAGTACATGTATATATATATATACATATCTGTGTGCATATATATATATATATGAAGAAGGCAGGGTTCCTTGAAGGGTTTTTTGCAGGGTAGTTGGGTGCTATATGTAAGGGTATAGGGTCTAGAGTTGTTCTTTCTTTGGTGGAAACCTAGGGTTTTGTGAAAGAGAGGTGTTGAGCTTTCCCCAAAGAGTCGGGGGTTGGGGATTCTCAATTTATTTTAACTATTGTTTCTTGCTTCGTAAGTAGCATTATCATGAATATAAGTATAAGCATTATGGTTAATACTGTTACTGGCATGGTGCATTTCGGGTTTTGAGGTCTGGAGTTTCACTCGGTTTCAGGCTTTCAAGCTTCGCACGACAATGAGGGCAACTGTTCCCACTAAGGCCTCTTGGTTGGTTACATGTACTCAGAAATAAAAACCTGTCAGGACTCTTGCAGCCCCCCAAAAAAGGGGTTTCGGGTTTGCGTACATGTTGCCAGGCATATGCGTTCGGGACGTGGTAGATGCTGTGCCATGCCCATCCTCTTCATCCCTGAACTCCAAACATGTGCATTACGCACCCTCATGGGCCGGTAAATCTCAAAACTAAACCCTAAACCCTAAACCCTAATTCCCTAAACAACTCTCATGGATCTGCTTTGCCCCGGCGTGAAACCCTTCTCCAGCTATCAGGCGCAAGGTGAAGCGCAAGGCGGGGAGCTGCCTGTCCGGGTGGTTTCAGGGTTTAGGGTTCAGGGTTTATAGGGTTTCAAAGTGTAAGATTGGGGATTAGGTTCAGGATTTGGGGTGTAGGTGCCAGGATTAATATGGAGAAAGTTGGTCCTGGTGTTTATTGCACTGATTCGACTTTCGGTTGTTCTAGGCAAATGATTGCCAGCAGCTTCTGCACATAGTAGCAATAGTAACGTTTGTCGACTCAGTAGCCGAAGGCAAGTAAATCTATAATCCTACCATAGACTTGGGCCAAAAGGGGCCAAGGAACCAAGCAACTAGGAGCTTCTATTCCCCTGTTCTGCCTGCAGTGCTGGCATTAGGTCCTGGGCCTCCAACCGGAAATCGACATGCCAAAGGGGTTACGCTTTAGTCTTTTCGGGCTTGGGTTTATACTTGGGGTTTAGGGTTTAGGATTTAGGGTTTAGTCTTTTCGGGCTTGGGTTTATACTTGGGGTTTAGGGTTTAGGATTTAGGGTTTAGTTTTTTCGGGCTTGGGTTTATAGGGTTGAGCCTCGGAGCTTCGCGCATCATGCCCCAAGTACAAACCAGCAGGCTGGAGATTAAGTTGGCCGTGGGGTGCCTCGGCCACTCAACGGTAAAGACTCTACGCTGGCAACTCAAGCAGTTGCCGAACCCCGAAACCCCCGTTCCTCTCTTTATCAGGTCTCCATCACGCGAGGCCTCTTAAACTTCTTGGGTGCTTATAAGGCAGCATGATTTTTCTGCCAGCCCAAACTGCTATTTCCGCGGGTTCTAGGGTACTGGAGGAGCCTTGACGACCCACTTTAGGCCCTGTAGTAACCGTATAAAGCCCTCTGCGACATCCCCGTAGAATAACCCCAAGCCATACAACCTAAGACGCGGAGGCGACGCCTTGGACCAAGGCGGCTCCAGATGCAGAAGACGAGGATCGGCGTTGTGTAGGGGTTAGGTCGGGTGGAGGTTCAGGGTTGAGGGGCGTGTACAAAGATTCCAACTTGAACATGAAATTTGGAGTTACTTGCATCCGGGTCTTATACAAGCCCTGAACCCTAAACCCTAAACCCCAAACCCTAAATAAGCTTTCGGAGTTGAGTGTGTGATAGGTTGTCGACACTACAGTTGCCGGGCCTTGGGCAGAACACTTGCCGTTGACAGTGCGTGCTTTGAAGGGGACCCCATTATAGTACCCTATAGTACCCTCAAAAGGGGACCCCATTATAATAGTACCCTATACTACCCTTAAAAGGGGACCCCATTATAGTACCCTAAAGTACCCTTAAGGCTTCTTCCCAGGGCACTACAAGGGTACAATAAGGATACCAGAAGGTGCCATTGCGGCCGCGATGGGCGACAGCAAAAACGAGTACTCGCTGATCCTCTCGAGTACGCTGGAGTATGCTCGAGTACTCCCGAGTACCACTAACACTATAGACTATACTGTATAGCAGCTATCAAAACACATAGACCGTAGCATTCACTAGCATAAAACAACAACATGTAGAATATATATATATATATATTATGCAATATTGTAGTACATATATAAACTGAGTTATGATCACAGTGGAAGGTGCTACGAGGGTCTATCAGCGAACTACCGTCCTTTCTTGGAGGTCGAGATTCTCAAGCGGTGTCTCGGGTTTAGGCTCGGTAGTAGGAGTTTAGGGTGCACTGACTACGGTCTGGGGCTAGCTGGGCTTAGGCGTCGTTTAAGCCTCAAACCTAAAGGTAAAACCTGAAATCCAAACCCCTAAAACCCTAAACCCCTAAACCCTAAACCCTGAAATCTAAACCTAAAGCCCTAAACCCTAGAAGCTGCACTGCAGATCACGAGATCCGCACGCAAACTTTTCATGCAAGGGCTTTCTATATATTTGTTTAAGAAGTATGTTTAGGGTTTAGGGCTTGGGGTATAGATGTTTGAAGGAGGTTTTAAGGCCCCTTCATGGTTAGAATAGGGTTTGGAGCATTGTGGAGCAGAACAATAATGGAGCTACGTGCGGATTTCATTCATTGAATACTCAGAGAAAGAGAGTAGACCCCAAGTCGCAGTTGACACAATGCCCAACAATAAAATCTCAGGGTTAAGGCCAACCCCAAACCTTAAACCCTAAAAGGCTCTAAGCACAGAATGAGCAGGATCAGGATTGTGTTTGGGGGATGGAGCTCAGGGTTTAGTCCGCAAGCATCCTGAACTCTTAACACTGCTACTCTGCTACTTTTGTTATTACTACTACTACTACTACTACTACTACGATTACGATGACGACGACGATGACGACGACTACGACGACTGCTACTACTACTACTACTACTACTACGACGACGACGACGATGACGACGACGACGACGACGACGACTACAGGGCTAACTTTGCTGACTGGTGTTTTCAGCATGTTACGTTTACAAGCATGATCACTGTGGCTATTCGTGCTGGTGTTACAGAGACGGAAGCTTAGCAGATACAGTAGGGATCCCTTGGGCTTAGGGTTTAGGGCTTAGGTATTAGGGTTTAGGGTTTAGGGTTTAGGTATTCGGTATTAGGGTTTAGGCTTTAGGGGTGCTTCTTTGCTTGAACCATACACGAATCTTCACTAATTCCCAAGCCCAATTCCTAAATCCTAGACCCCGAAATCGCAAACCCTCAGCCATTCGTGTTATTCCTAGCCGAGCCAGCAGGACGAGGAAGTCTCGGAGCAGGAGAAGCTCGATTTTGGGCTTGCCTTTTCTGTGCTCCGGGGTTTGGGGGGGGCCGCAGGGCTTTAGGGATTCGCGCCTTGGGTTACTTAGGTTTTTAGGGTTTAGGTTTTGGCGTTGGCTGGACCCCGATAAATGCCGAAAGGTTGACCCATGGCAGCTCCAACCAAGCTCTTGCATGTGTTTCGTAAAGATTGTAATGGTAAGTTGTTCAGGCTGCTTTGCTTTGCGTAAGCCTTGGGGGTCTAGGGCTTAGTGTGTTTAGGACTTCGGGGCTTGTTGCACCAGCACGAGCAGCGATAAGCTGACGGTCCAGGGCTTCAGGTCTTTACGGTGTTCTACATGGCTTAGAGGTTCTAGAGTTCAAAGTTCCGCAGACCTCGTACCTTGGTGAAGTCGGGGTGATTTAGCACAGGCGAAACTGAAACCCCGGCAAGATGCGACGGACCCTGCAGCTGAACCGGAACGCAAAGGTTAAAACCTGAAAACCCAAAACCGCCCGCATCACGACAAGGAGGCGACCCGACCCATCGCCCCTGCGCAGGTCGAGGTGGACAAGAGTTGTTTTCGCTTTTGCTTGAGAGCTCCTCTATGGCTTGGTTACGGACAAAGGGTTTTTCCTCTTCCTGGGAAAAAACCTCCGGCAGGTAAAGTAGGCTGGGTCCTGGTCGCGTGACCCATGTGGCGCCCGAACACGTCGCCCCGAAAAGAGAGCTGCTGTCGGATGCAGATTCCTTGCTTCCCTCCCCTCAAAGCTCCGACTGCCGAAACTTTAGCCTGAGCCCCAAACGGAGCATTTATGGCAAAATCGATGACTTGGCATTTACTGGGGTTTAAAATCGACCCAGACGATGCTTGTGATGTTGATGCGGCCGTGGCACGGTGTTGGGAGGAGTATGAGTAGGATGTTGTCATCTTGAACTGATGAGGATGATGACCGTGTAGAGTATGATAGTGATAAGATCCCAGAGTTGTTTTTGGAATGGGTTGTGTTTGTTGCTACTCACGATGATGATCACATGGACGGCGTCGGCGACGGCGACAGTCTGAAACTGACGATGTAATGATAATGATGAGCATGATGATGATGATGGTGATGATGGTGATGATGATGATGATGATGTTGGTGGTGAAGCCCCGTGGCTCGCAGGAGGAACGCCCCTTGCTGTGCTCTTTCTTTCTTCCTTCGGGGCTGGGGTGGGTTTTCTTGGGGGGGGGTTTTCTTGCTTGGGGCTGCTGCTTTTCGGTGAAATCATATGCCTTCGCCATGGCTGATGATTCTGAAGATGGCGCTACTCTGTCCGAAATTGAGCAGCTGGAGGCCACTCCCCATGATCATGGCCGAGGACCACCACCACCAGTTGGCAGGCCCAAGGGGCCACCAGTGCCGCAGCCGCTTCATCCTCGGCCTTCCGCAAGCGCAGCGCCGGCCGACACACCGGGCACAGAACAGCCAGGAGCCGAAGCACCTCCCAGTGACAGCGACTCGGACAGGGCCCGCCGATGGCCCCTCATCGATGTCTACGAGAACGGCAACAGGTTCCAGGCCCGCCTTCAGGGCCCACACCTACCAAACGGTAGGTTCGAGGAGAGCTCGGACAGTGACTCAGACATTGCCCTGTCTTCTAGCTCAGCTACCAATGATGGGGATGGCTCTGCTTCACAAGGCTCCCTTACGTGGAGCGAATCAAGCCTGGTGCTCGCTGGACCAACCCTGGAAACTGCCAAGGGAGTGTTACTGGGCCAATTTCGGATGGAACTATTGGCAGTCCATCCAGGTCTCTCGAGCCGTTCCCAGGGAGCCAGGGTGGGGTCACTCCGCAGAAGGTTGGCGAGTTCCAGCTGGCAAGATGTGCAACAGGCCGCGCACCGGCACCTCACAGCTGATCGCCGTCGAGTCTGGTCTGAGTGGGAGTACAGAGCGACCCACGAGAGGCGCCCGCGCAGGCGAGCCCCGTCTCCCTGACTACAGCTGCCCTGCTTGGCACACGGCCCGCCCGAGGAGCCTTTGCGCCTGTAGATTCCAACTCCTTAAGACCTGCCACCCCTACGGCCCTAACTTACCCAACCGCCCCAGTAAGCTCCATAAGCCCCGACCCGGAACCGATAAATACAGGACCCGGCATGGCGCTGTCCCGCACGCAACGCCCGAGATGCCATCCGCAGGAGTGCTCTCCTGCCGTCATCACAGTGCACACAGACAGTCGTCAATGCAATACCGAAGATGGATCAGCACAGAGCGCCACTCATATCCTCCTGTAAGCCAATCCGGTCCCAAATCCGGATCCTACCTCGTGCTCATTCTGCATACTAGTCTGTTTACACAGGTAGGTGGGGTGAGGGTTCCTCCTGACTCCGCGTCAGGAGGGGGACCTGCTGCACCAGTGGCAGGGAAGCATCGCGGACCTTCGCCCAGCTTGGCATCAGTGAACCAACCGCAGCATCCCGTCACCCAATTAGCGCGATCGACTAAGCGAGCCTTTCGTAGGGCTAGGCTACGAGCCCATGCCTCCCCAAACCAAGGCACGTGGTACAAAGGTAGATGGCATACGATAGAATCCCTAGGCCAGCTTCCCCAGCAAACCCGGCGACACCACAGGCGAGAACGGCCCTCACATCCTCCCAGGACCAGGCAGGTTCCGCATCTCCGGGTTTTCTCGTGGAATGCTAGCGGGTTGTCGTCTCCTATGTTTCAAGAGTTGATTGCCTGGTGTGACTTACAAAACAACATAGATGTTATAGTCATCCAAGAGACCCACTGGCATGCAACCAGCGACTTTTATACTGGCCCCTGGCAAGCCATTCATTCGTCTGGACGAGACGCGCCCGACGGCTTTGGCAGGTGCTCCGGGCTTCTTTTCTTGCTGCATCGCAGCAAGTTTCAGGACCCCGAATTTCTGAGATTGTGCCCGGCAGACTGGCACTAGTGCAAGCCACGTCCCGCCTCACCCGTCTGCCCGTTAGCATCCTTGGGGTGTATCAACATGTCTGGAGGAGCAGCTTGCCCACGGCCAAGAACCACGAGCTAAGGCGCGACATATGGCAACAGCTTGATTGCTCTCTGCTCACCGTGCCACGCAGACATCATCTGCTTGTGTGTGGAGACTTCAATACAGCTGTTAGTCCCCGCCCGCCCGAGATAGGCAGTTCGGTCCCGCCAGCACAATCCAATCAAGACCCAGAGCTGCTAGCACTGCTGCAAAAGCACTCCCTGTGTGTGCTGAACACGTGGCATGCTCGCCCTAGCGGCACCTACTTCTCTCCAGAAAGCACTACACAGATTGATTATGTGATCACTAGACAGGCCACTGCACGTCTACAAGCCAAGCAGGCACACCCGGATCATAGCTTTCCCATTGGTGGAGGTAGACTGACAGGGCACTATCCCATTCGTGCCCAACTACCCTTGCAATCTTTCGGATGCGGCCAGGCATTGGCCCCGCAGGCCGACCGGCCAGCCAGCGCAGCCATTGACCTCCCGGCGCTGCAAGCAGCCGTCAGCCAGGCCCTGCCACCGGCTCTTGCCATGCAGGCCAAGGCTGCAGAACGCTTTGCACACATAGACGTTAGTCACCTTGCCAGCGCGCATCGGCACCTCAATCGCATCTTGCTCGAGGAAGCAACAGCTGCCTTCCCCAAACGACCGCCAGAGGACAACCGTGTCAGCGCCAGGCCAGAGTTTCGCCTGTCAGCCCGGCACGTGTGGCACCTGTATCATGCACTCAAGCGCCCTCGTGTTAGCACGGCCTATGCTGTCTTCGCTCAGTGGCGACTGGCTGCTCAATTCGCGAGGGCCTCAAAAGCCCTGCGTCGCCAGAGTCGTGTGCTCCAGCGCCACTTTTATGAATCCCAGGTGGATCAGGCCGAACAGGCTGCAAACCAAGGCGACCAACGCAGTCTCTACCTCATTGTCCGTCGTCTCTCGCCGAAAACTCGGCAGTCCGCGCGGCGTCTCCGAGGTGACGACGGCCGTCTCCTATCATGCCAGGAGGAGCTGCAACACATCACGGCATATGGTAACAAAACCTTTGCTGCCAAGCCCGATGATCACCCCATCAGCCCCCTCCTGCAACCTGTTCATATTGCCGATGAGGAACTGCAAGCTGAACTTGACAAGCTCGGTCTGGCCAAGGCCGTGCCAGGACACATCGCTCCCACAGCAGTGTGGCGACAATGCTCTGCCGAGGTCAGCCAGGTCTTGGGCAAAGCCCTCCGAGCTCACTTGCAGCCAGGGCACACGGGCCACCTTGACGAGGACTGGAAAAACTGCTACATGGTCTGGATTCCCAAACCCAACAAACCTGCAGGGGACGTGGCTTCGCTTCGTCCCATCGGGCTTTCCAGCCCGGCCAGCAAAGCCCTCGCGGGCAGCCTGCGGCACCATTTGCTCAGAGGCCTTGAGCCTGTTATGCAATTTCTCCCACAGTTTGCTTATGCTAGGCATCGGGGTACGGCGGACGCTCTTCTTCGGGCGCACTCTCACTTTGAGGCTGTCACGCAACTCATCGTTGACACGCAGTGCACCAGGTTCCAGAAGCAGGCAGGTCGAAGTAGCCGCCTATGTGCAGGCGGACTCAGCCTATCCTTGGATCTTTCCAAGGCTTTCGACGGAGTCAATCGTGCTCATATCTACCGATCCATGGAACAACAGGGAGTCCCACCGGAGGTGATCACCATCATTCAACATCTTCACCATCGGGCTCAGTATGTCTATCAGGCAGGGCCCCATCGTGGCTCCACTGTCACAACCAACGGCATCAAACAAGGCTGTGTTATTGCTCCATATTTGTGGAATTACTTCTCTCTTGCTTTTCTGCTTCTCCTTCGTGACAAACGTAGCCCCGAATGGATACAGGCCACCCTCTCCCTCTTCGCCGACGACGTGTGGGGCTCCTGGCTGATACGCCAACCGGCGGATCTTGACCAAGCTGTCGCTGATGTGTCTTTGATTCTGGAGACTTTGGAAACTCTAGATATGACCATCAACTACGGCAAAACCGCCATTCTCCTCAGGCTGGTCGGACGGGCTGCCAGCCAGCAACGACACGCCCACACCTTCATGAAGGCCGGCCAGCTCCACCTACGAGTTTGGGTTCATGGCAGAGAATGCAGCATTCCGATTAAGGAACAACATGAGTACCTCGGCACGATTGTCACCTACCGCCACAGGCACCAACGCAATATGCAGCACCGCATACGCGCCAGCACAGCCAAATATCAAGGCCTGCGCAAGCTGCTGAATGGCTCCCACCACCTTTCCGAGCGCCACAGACTGCGGCTCTGGCAGGCATGCGTTTGCACAAGTGCCTTTTACGCTCAACATGTCGTCGGTGTCACCGCTGGCTCCCTTCACACCCTGACAACGGTTCTCACCAAGCATCTTAGAGCGATCCTCCGCATCCCCGCACATCTGACTCACATTTCTACCGGAGATGTTTGGAAACGAGCCAACGTACCCATGCCAGGCTGGACGGTGCAATATGCCCTGCAGCAGATGCTTGCCAAGCTCACCAGCAGAGCTGTGTCTGCGCCTGATATCACCACAGACCCCAGCGCCATTGCCCATCTGCAACAGCAGGCTGAGCGCCTGGAACCCATCCTGCTGGATGTTGCTGCGGGACTCACTGCGACACCCACGCCAGAACCTGCAGTAAGCTGCCCCTTCTGTCAGGAGGTCTTCCTCACGGAGAACGCGATGAGGGTGCACTGCGGCATCAAGCATGAGTCGGTTCCCAAGCACTCTACGAAAACCCCCACCACCTTCAGACCCGAGCTCCACTCCAAATCAGGTATGCCAGCTTGTCAGCTTTGTGACCGTCAGTTCTGGCGTTGGGCTCATCTTGTCTCTCATATTGAGACGGGTGCCTGCCGCTGCCT